GTATTCTTAATGGCACATTAAAGAGGCCGCTCATGAAGGAGAGGGTCTAAAAATGGCCAATTTCGGCCGCGAACACCTTTAAAACCTATATTATCATTACTGAAAGTCTATACATTCACAAAAGAAAACTTATTTACCCAGAAAAGTTTGGGAAACTTTCCTGAAATAATAAAGTAGGTTATTTGAACGCTTTGTAAAAAAAAAACTCATTTGGTTTCTAACAAACGATGGTAGATTTCAAAACTAAAAAAAAAAATGAAAAAATGAAAAAAATAAAACTAATAGAAAACTATTGAGAGTTTTCGGTATAACGTATTCGGTAGTATTATTCCATTGGAATAAGTTAATTATATCGTTGAAATTGCCCAATCGCATTTGTCGTTAAAAATAAAATTGATCATAAATCACCCGGTTGACATCTGTAGATTAACTGGTCGGTTAATCGATTAATCAGTATTTTCTTCCGTTCATCCCCTCTTCTATGTTATGCGTAAGACGCTATAACTACTTCTATTCTTCTATCAGTAAAAATCAAAGATCTAATGAGCTAACTGGTTTCCCGGCTGTAATCGCCCAGTCTCTACGTAGGCAATAAATAAAAACTGCCAGTATACTTAACAATTCATAAATGCAAACAACCGATTTCTTTTACAATTTTTATCTTGATGTAAACCCGAGAGACCTGTGATGTTGCCTCAGCGTCAAGATCGCGAGTGTTACTCTCAGGAACAATGTTTCGATTCGAGCGCGTGGCTCGAATCCACGCACGAAACTGTGCTCGACGACGATATCGTCAAATTCTACCGGGAGCTAAGGAAGTCATTTAATGGCGAATCTTATCTTCTTCTTTTTTTTTTCAAGACAACGCTTCTCCCCTTAATGATCGCGTCGACGTTTCTCCCAGATTCCATCTTGCAGGGAGATAGAGAGAGGGGGAGAACACAAGTGTGCGAACACGAATACACTACTAAGACTTTACGACCGCGCTTAACGAAGGAACTCGTCGACTCTGAAGGGAAAAAAGGGAAGGGAAAAAAATAGAAGAATCGCGAGCGGGGAAAGAAAGAGCGCGGGGAGGATATTAACGCGGCGCCGAGAGACGATTATCGTAACGCGCTGTTTTATCCGGCTTATAACGCGGACGGAAGGGAAGAGCGGCGGGGGGGGGGGGGGGGGGAAAATTGGNCTTCGCTTTATGGACGAGGAAATGGCCACTTTTTCGCGACGCAAAGAAACGCACTAATCGCCGCTGGAAATCCATCGGCTGTATCCGCGCGAGCGAGTCATTATCGTTAATTTGAATATTCGCGACGTTCGTTCGCGGCGTAGCGAACGCGGGAATAACGAAGCACGACGAGGGACGTCGGTTCGAAGAGAAATTCTTTGTTACGGAGTATTAAGAGTCGATTTTTCGGTGAAACCGGTTAGCTATATAATATCAGCATATCTCACACACATATACAGGATGTATCTGAACTCTGTCGGCAAACTTATGGGGCAGATTCTATGTTGGAAAATAAATAAAAAAAAGTCTTCGTAAACGTATGTCTGCAAAAAAAAAATAAAAGGACTTAATTTTTGAGACGTAGCCTTCAGAAGTTGACAAGTCGATGAAAGAAAACGTGTCGCAATAAGCAAATTAAAAAAATGCTAACACACACTTTTTTCATCTGTTTTTGAAGATAATACTTATCAACTTTGATATTTCTGAATATACACCTGCAAATGAACGAGATGAACTGCTTTCGAGAATTCAATAGGCATGCGCGATAGCGTTAGAAATAATGAAGCAATATTCGAATACGCGTCTCTTTATTCCACAAACGTTAATTGTGCACTAATGAGAGAGGCAGAGAATTTTGAACAATTTTTATAACAATATAACCAATATTCATAGTTGGATCTTATATTTAAGACCGTCTCAAGTTCATCTTCAGATGTTTCGTAGCCAATAAAATGAGAGCCGTACAGTATCTAAAGATAAGTTTAAAACGGTCTTAAATATAAAATCTAACTATGAATATCGGCCTGTGTGTTTACTTTCTTATTTGTAAAATACGATTTAACGAATAAAACATATTTCATTTAACTGATATTGCGGCAGTTGTATCTGAGAAATTAAACATTTGAGGACACATATATATTCACTGAGATTTTTTCGCTGATTTTTTTTCTTTTTTATATAAAATCTATCCTAAGAGTTTGTGGAGTTCAGATACACCCTGTATACTCCACGCTCCTCGTCGAATGTTAGCCCGAAAGAGAAGAAACGCTTCGTTAGCCTCGGTTGAGGTCTCACCCCGAAGGAATTGCGTTCTGAAAGTAAACCTTTTGAAATGTACAAGCTTATTAATAACTTCAAAGAAGCTCGCGTAATTCCTTAAAGATACACGTACTCTTGATGCGCGTAATATGAAGCTAACGTACACAAGCATTAGCACGCGCGCGCTCACACGCACACATATCGAGTTGGGAGATCTGAGACAGAGAGAGAGAGAGAGAGAGAAAGAGAGAGGCGGCAAATTGCGATTATCCGATTGACGGAGTCCCCATTCCCCGAACCGCCCGTTCGTTCGCGCGAGGATTGAACCGTCCGGCGATTGCGAACAATCGAGGGTTATACGTCGATCAAAGAAACGCGTCGCGGAGCCGTACGACGGCAAAGAAACCCCGGTCGCTTCAAAGGAAGGCTTCAACCTGCTTCCTCTTTCCCTCTCCTTTTTGCCGTTTCCCCTTCGCCATTCTGTCTTTTCCCAATTATCCAGGCGCAATTTGATCCTCTTCGCCGATCTGTGACGCCGCACTTAATGAAAATCGTTAGATCCGCCCTCTAATTGCGCGATCGCGCGAATCAATCGAAAAGAAAGAACGGGAAGGAAAGGGGGAGGAAATAGACGCGTTTGTGGGAGTCGCGGGAGTTTCGGGGAAATCGTCCCGTGCTTCGTCGAAAATGCGGCGTTCATTTCCACGGGAGCTTCGGGAGATCGCGCGAACACGTAACCCGCTTTTGGAAATATATAACAACAACGCTTCGATCTTTCGGGGCGCGCGGTTAAGCGTCGATTAATTTTCCAATAGGTCACCGCGCTTCACACGATTCCTTCTCTCGTTCCGGATTAATCCTCCCCGTCCTCCCTCCCTCCTACCTGTCAATCTATCCCCCTGTTCCCCAGGTATATACCACGGTTCATCAGGCGAGAGTCAACGGAGTGCCCGGGGCGGAGGGTGGATTTTTGCACGGAACGTACGACACACACATACATCTTCTTTCGATTAAATCCACGTTATTCAGGGGATTCGGGCGCGCGGGAAGCTCGTCACAGGGCCAATTCGGTTGCGATCTAAACGTCCGGCCGATGGACAGCGCTACTTTTTGCTGTGAGCGTAGCTTTGTACGAAATAATGATCGGTGTGTGCAAGCTGCGGCAGCGCGGTCCTCGTCCTCTCGCCCGCTTTTGGCACACGTGTCGCCCGAAAGAAGGAGAAAGAAGAGGGCCAGACAGAGAGAAATTGCGGTGCACCAGGCGTCCGATTGTCGAATGCGAATCCGCATCGCGCGGTAGGGTGGGAAGGAGAAGCGGCAGGGAGGGCGCGCGAGGCTGCAGTTGGTTAAAAAGATGAATTACGCCGCGGCGAGAGAGAGAGAGGATGCATCGCAGACGGATGCGAACGACGGATGGTCGTGTGCGGCCAGCGAAGAAACAAGAAAAAGTGTGCGCGAGGCGAGCGTGAAAAGGGGGAAGCGAGGAAAAGAGAGAGAGAAGGACGACCGATTTTACCCGGTCGAATGACGCGGTGAATAAATCTAAGGTTGATCCGCTGACCCCGTCGATTCCAGCGCGGCGAGCATACGCGCGCGAGAGCAAAAATGCGGCGCGCACGCGGAAGTGAAAGAAACCGTTCGCTCTCTCTCTCTCTCTCGATTGACACGCGAGAGCGATTCGATTTCCAACGATTGCCCTGGGAATCGTACAGGCCGCTCGGAGCGTGACAAGCCACGAAGGGGCGAACTATTATAAATAAAAGGCCGATAATCGCTCCTACCCTTAATTAATCGCGATTTTTGCTTATTACCTTGATTACTGGGCGCAAATAACAATAGCGGCTAATTAAAGCCAATGTTTCGCTGTTCACCGCTGATCGTCCGGCGTTGCGAAGCGGCGAATAATTAGCCCGTCAATTAAGAGTAAAGCGGGTCGTGATCGTGAAATATTATTTAATGCGTTTTCTCGCTACCAGAGAGCGAGAGAGCGGTTGCCCCGCCAGCATTCCTCAGCGAAGGCGACGCGTTAATGAGCCGGTGGGACCTTACGGGAAAAAGGCAGAGAAAAAAGGGGGAAAAGAAAGAGGGAAGAAAGACGGTATCACAGTGGCGTATGGCCCATTAATCGCGCTAATGAGAAACTTGCATCGCGGCGACGCGGAAAGTAATAACTGTCGATGGTGCGTGCGTTAAAAGGATGTCGGCGGCTGGATGGAGGATGGGAAGGACTGTCAAGGTGGAGGTGGTGAGAAAGACAAGGGGACAGTAGCAGAAGGAAATAGGACCGAATCGATCGAAGAGTAGCCGAGAGGGTGGGATTTATTACGTTCTCTCTCTCTCTTTCTCTCTTCACTATTGCACGCTGCTAGAACAATCAGGACGCCACAAAGGAGGCCCCGTCACGACCAACTTAATTCAAGGATAATTGATCGCAGAGGATGGGGAAGGAAAGCGGCGCATCGGCGGGCCGAATTTTCGATTTCAATTAAAGCGCGCGGGCGCATACCCGACGTTTTAATCAGTTTTAAGGCTGCGCGCGGCGCGCCGATAATATCGGATGCCGCGAGGAATCGCGACTACTCGCTTCCGCCGAAGGTGGAGAGTCTCGTCGCGTCGCAGGAATGATGATGACCGCGATGACCGGCACAGTTTCGCGCTGTCGCTGCGACGTCGAGAAGAAATCGCGAATCGGCGGAGATTTGGCGAGAAGAAAAAGCAAAGAAATAGATGGACTCACCAGTGACAGGAGCCTCGATGTCTATCATGGTCTTCTCCGAGCGTAGAAGGGCGGCTCCGTCGTTGATGATACGAAGAGCCGCGGCTTCGTCGATCCTACCTTCGGCGATAAAGTGTTGCCTGAGGACCTCCGGCCGTGGCCGATCTGTCCGCTCGTCGAAGACCTCTGCCACTGTCATTTTGTGCGCCGGTGGAAAGTCAACACCTGTCGACAGAACGGACGCGAAATTAGAGACGTAACGTAGAATAACGAGCGGTGTTTGCGTTGGGAATTTACGAGCGCAGATAAATCCCGCGAAGACTTAAACGCACAAAAAAACATTTTAACGACGTAATATTGTTTTCTTGTGAGACCGACCGTCTGACTGAGAAATGACGACGGGTTTTTTTCCTCCTTCTCTTTCTGTCCATCTCTTAGGATGCAAATTTATCTTCGTTGCGCAAGCTGCGCGTAAAGAGCAGGCTATCCAGCCGCCGAAGGCCGCACGCAACGGCATTAATTAAAGCCGTTCGTTGTTCGCCGTAATCCCAGATGACGATTACGAGATTTTTACGAGATCCGCGGCGGCACAAAGCGACTCGTCGCCGTGCAAATAAATCGCGCACATATATACGAATCTGCACACAGGTATACACACGCAACAGATGCACGCCTAAATATTGATCGAGTGAGTTTCGCGCGCGAAGCGTTACAACTTGTACATCTCCCTCCTCGTTAAAACTTAATGACTGTGTACAGGTTACACGCGAAAGAACTGCAAACGTTATAAGATGCGTAATCTCGTTTTTCCCTTTCCGTTTCTCCGCCGGTGATTTACAGTTTCGCTGCGTTTTATCGCGCAGCGACGGTTAAATCACGGCCTGCGCGCTGGCGAAGAGTTACGTGCCGGTCTCAGAGTCGCAGTTTCATTTCCCCGCTATGCAAGCAGCAGCTCCGCGATAAATACGCTCGTGTCGCGTTTGTTTACACACACGCGAGTCCACCAAGAATTAAACGAGATCAACGAGACATGTGGAAGGAGAAAGAAAGAGAGCGAGGCACTCGGTAAGAATGCTCGCGCGTTTAATTTCGGCTAATTACGTGAGACAATCGCAAACGTCCGCGGCGCGTACGACAGAGGATTACGCAACGCGAAATTATTAATCGTTCATTACCGCGTGTTTACTCAAGTGCCCGTATAAATGAGACGGCTGAAAAAATATAACGGCAACCGGCGGACCGAATTTTTTCGTAGATCGTAGATAACGTCGCGGCGAGAAAAAGCACAAAGCACGAAGGATAATTAGACACAGAAAAGTTTTCTTAAATAATATAGCATATTAATAGCATACTTTACTAAACTTCGCGTTACTAGAATATATAAATAATAAATAAATCATATTAAAACCAAAATTTATGTATTAAAGGTAATGTCGTTTCTTTTTTTCAGATTGAATAAATATTGCCACCTTGTTCGTGGACGTGATTTATTATCACACAACCTATATACTAATTAAATTTATCGACATTCAGTGTGCTTATTGTGAAAGTTTGAAAGAACCAAATGTCAAATAAAATAAAATTTTGTACAAGCATCAAAAAGCGATATTATTTATGGGTACTCCTAATATGATAGCAATAAATGAACAAGTTAGTCGAGTATATTTTTTTACCTGATTGTATATAAATTTATCACACGTATAGAGAAATAGAAAAATAAAAAACGTCCTATACAGATATATGTATTTTCGACGCTGCAACTTGGATTGCGCATTATTTACAATGTCAGTATGGAAAAACATTTTATCTCGTGTGTAGTAACTATTGTAAAACGGGGAAAAAATGAGTATCAATTTCAATTTTCAAGACTCATATTTCACATATATATTTAAGACTCATATTTCACAAAAATATATAATTTCATATAAATAAATAGAAGAGATAAAATGAGCTTACATGAAGAAATTTTATACAGTTCCATGAAAAATATATTCTTGTTATTCAAGAATAATCTTTCATGAATTGAGAGGAAAAAATATTAGATAGAAAGAATCTACGATATCTTCAAACTAAAAACTGTATCAGTTTGAAAATATCGTTTTTTCTATCCAATATTTTTCTCTCTCAATGCATGAAAATTATTATTGAATAACAAGAATATGATATTTCTAGTGGAATTATATCGAATTTTTTAAGCAAATTTCATCCTCATATAAGATTATACGTTTTTGCTTATATATGAGAACAGAATCTTAAATAGATATTAATTTTTCTTCCGTATATGAAAAGTGCAGAGAGACGGGTTATTCATTGCGCTCGTGACCCGTTTTAATCGTGCCGTTCACGTTATTTTCCAAATTCCCGACATTGCCTTGAAATTCTTTCAACGTCACGAGTGTATCCCAACCAAGCAAGACTGCTGTGCTACTTTTTCAGTTCCAAGAATATTTATATCTTCGAGGAAAATTCTCTGCGTGCATAAGTGCACGCTCTGCGTCCGGTAGTGAAGATAATCTCAATTATACCGTGACGTATATTACGAGCTGGTAGCACCGCAATCGACCATCAACATCGGCAATTATCTATCTCACAGTGCGGTACGACTTCGATCGGTCGTGCGCTTCTCGCGGCGTTTCGCCAAGTTTCGAGTGTATTATTACGTTACATGTCGGTGGACGAAGCGGCGCACGAGAGGAAGCCGCGCGCGCCACCCGAATTACAATAAAATATTTCACTCGGCCGATAACGATCCGGAGGTGAACTGACTAACTAACAGGTGGCCGAGAGGCGACGGAGCGCGCGCAATAACTCGTCGCAGGGCCGATGCAAAAACATACTCAAGGTTGGAATTGTTGTTATTGCTCCGCGGCACGCCACGATCATCGATCGACCGGCCAGCCGCCAAGGTGAAACGCGTTATACCTGGCTGACATCTTTCGGCAATGTGGACCCGCCCGTTCTTCCTCATCGATCGAAATGCCCTGATCGGACTCTTATTTCGCGGACCGGCCGCCGATGATGTCTTCACCTTCGGCGTCGACGAACGTGTTGGCGCTCTCACTTTCTTCGCGTTTTTCACACCGTTGGAGAACGAGCGGCTCATTGTTTTGGTTGTTCGCACGACGTTTCTCATGTATTCTTGCACACATTTCACGTTTTCATAGTACAATTCTTCGAATCTGTCGGCGGTCTCCGTGTTGGCTTCAGCCTCGGCTTTTTTCTCGCTGGACGGCGCCGCTTCCTCGTCGACGTGATTGACTTCCCTTTCCACTTCCTCCACGACAGGTTCGGTATCGCCTCGCGTCTCTTGTGATGGAGACAGCGGCTCCACCACGCTCTCGTATGTCACCTTCGATGAACTCTCGTTGTCCGACACGCTCGACTTGCCGGCAAAGTATCCGTCTTCGTGTCTTACGAGCTCATCCTTCGACTCCACTTTCGAGTCCTGCGAAATACCGGTTTGCCCCGAAATCCACATCTCTGTGTTCGCCATGTTTCAACGTGTTTGTGTGCGCTCGGTACACGCAATACGCGAGATCTGCGTCGATAGATCGCGGGTGCTCTCTTAAGACACATTCTGAGCTTGCTCCGGAGTTGTCTTTGTTTTCGAACGAGACGGACGCACGCAGAAACGCCGAATGTGTTTACAGGCGGGTCGATTATATCCTCGAATAAGATTCTGATTTTTGCTCAATTTCGAACACCTTTGCTACGCGGAGACATTAATTCTTCCACCGGTCTCTTTTCCGAAGCGTGTTTTCTCTGAAGAAGTAGGAATAAAGAGTCCACAAAGCGGTTGACAACGCGAAATGTCGATGTAAATCGCGTATATAAATTTGAAATGATTAAGAAACAACTTTTACCTTGCATCACCGCGAAGGAATTAAATAATAGATCGCATTTGCATCTCGAATGCGAGAAAGACAAGGACACGCGTAAAATTACTTCACTACCTTTCCCTCAATTTTTCTTTATTATTAGCTGCTAACAGTGTATCACCTTTACGATTAAAACGTCTCAATAGAATTAATAATCACAATTACAGTTACAATTAATACAATTCATATTTACAATTTTCTTCGAGTACAGCGACAGTTTCTCCAAATGCGGTGATTAAGTGAAAACAAAATCTTGACAATAGTACGAGAGCCCGTCCAATTCTCAGTCAGCAAACAGATCTTTGGTCACGCGGGAGAGCCCTTCATATCGAGAAGTAAAGTCGGACGATCCCCTCACGATCGATCCTGCATCGATTCCTTTTCCATCAGCTCGTCCCAGTCGTCTATGCGTATCACCGGCACACGGATTTTGTCGCTGAATCGTCCCTTATCGGGCCCTTCGTCGGCGGATTCGTCGCTGTCCGATCCCGTTCGGTCGAGTCTTTTGAACATGCCCGCGATTCTTCTCCCATCCCGACGATTCCTGTTCGACCTCATCAGCAAGCAGTGCATCTCGGACACCACGGGGAGAAATTCTTCCTCCTCCATCGATGACATTTCCTCGACCAAGCGTCGTGGGCTCTCCAGTCTGCGGAACTGTTTGCCCAATGAGCCGGGCGACGACGGTCTGGAATTCCGATCAGTTAATTCCGGTTCAGTCGGATTCAACGAAACAGCTGCTTTCGCCGCGTCCACCGTCGACGGTTCGAACAATGGCGTTCTTCTATCAGCCACACACATCGCGGACTTGTATACCTCGCTGTTCGACGAGGTGAAGTTGACCACGAGCGAATCATTGTTCTGTAAAAATGTATCTTGGTCCTTGGCGGAAACCTGCCAGGACGTTCCGGGCTGATGGGCTTGCTGGGCAAGAAAAGTTCTCCTCGGAGTCGTCGGCGCCGGGCTGGACAGCGAGACGAGTGTCTGCAACTCGCTCGTCGGTGACGTCGTCTCGCACACCGAAGAAGAGTGTTCGGAAACGGTCGCGTCTTTGCGGTGCCATCCCATCGGCGACAGCAGCCTGATCCTCCTACTGGCCATGCTCGAGCGAATTCTTGCGGAAGCGAGTGATGTTTGTCCTCGGGAACCGTAAGGAGAATCTCCGCTTGTATTCTCGACTTCGTTAAGACGAAAGCACGGGAGCACCTCGACGTTGCATGTTTCCGAAACCACTTTTCGTTTTCACCGGATTGGAATATCGGGTGCAAAAACGCTCTTACGGTGTGTGTGTGTGTGTGCGAAGAGTAAGAACGAGGCGGTTTCGTTACACGAGGTCAACGACAATTG